ACGCAAAGTACTGTATTCTTCACGGTGAGCTGCGCAGGGGGCCTGTCGATGGTGGGGCCACTGCAGCCAGACGGCTTCGACGGATGGCCTCAAGCCGCCCCCGCTCAAGCAAGCGTCCACCCCCAGGCCCGGGGAGAGGCCCCCCGAGCCCAAAGGCCGTTGCTGAGCAGGCCCCCCCAGAAAGGAGAGCCACGGCAGACGACTTTGAGCCAAAATGGCTAAAGCGACTCTCTCTCTCTCTCTCTCTCCTCGGGGCCTGAGTCCGTGACAGCGTTCTCTCTCTGCATCACTATTTTCCTGCCAAAGGGCCGCTGTGCAGGAAGCTCCTCCGCAAAGACGAAGGGAAGCTTTCGGTGCCTCGGTTGCCCCAACTTCAGCCCTGCCAGGAACATCCAAAGAGGCTTTGGGAACAAGACCTTGGTCGTCTGGCGCCCTTGTCACACGGACTACTGCACTGAATGATGGTGAAATGGTCGGGGATGGGTGAATCTCAAGCTATTAAAGGAGTCATCTTAATTCCTATCAGTATCGATTGCACGATGTAGGGCCTGAGACGCCGCTGCATCCCCAGTCCACTCAATCAACTAATTACTTCCCTTACTAGTCTGTAATGCCATATTTGTGTATATATGTTTCCTCGAGGGAGGCACAAAGTTCTTCGCCTTAAATCCGGCAAAAACCTAGCCGGAGCCTGAAAACGGCTGTCTTTGCTGCAACGTGCACATGCAGCAAGGCCAAACAAGTCTCGAACACAGGAAACACACATCCGCTTTGGCAGCGTTGCTCAGCACTTGCCTCAGAGATCCTTTCGCCCGACCTTCAAGCAGCCGCAACCTATTTGGACGAAGCTTTCCCTTCAGTGGAACATGAGGGAACTAGAAATCCCCCGCCTGCACTTCAAGCCACCGACTACACAGCAGTCCCCCCTGACAAAGTTGAGCTGAGGCTCCTGAATTCCAGCACAACGACATGTTCCTTGGGACGCGGGGGGAAAGCACGTCTGCTAAGCTTGAACCAGGAGTTTGTACCAGAGCCTATCAACAGTACGATTCGCAGCCGTTCCAGTGATCGTGAAACCTACCAATGTGAAGGCGTGAGCACATCTGCACTCAAGCGAAAAAGCGAGCATTCGGCTCTGTAGAACGCCACTCTGCGGGAGCTGCCTGGCTGTCAGAATCTTTGGACGACTTTACGACTCTCGTGCAGCCTATGCGCAGCCCATGTGATGCCTGTGGAACCGTACCCTACACTTTCTTAGCCAAAGGTCCATCTTCTGGAAAGGGAAACTTGTCAAAGGGTTCGCTTCAACAGCTCTCTTGGCGCTGAAGTTATCCCGGTGCTTGATGATTCCTTGGCTGCACAGAGGTAAAGGTCAAGGGTTGGAGGGAGCAAGAAAGAGCATGGAACCGGAAGCACGAAAAAGAAAGAAAGAGACGGGGAGAGAGAGAGAGAGTGTGTGTGTGTGGGCGCGTGCTAGTCAGTCCAAGTTCGTGTGTGATGTCTGCCCGTCCATCTCTCCGAAGTTGTTGCGGCACTCCAGCTTCGCTGGGACGCAAGATGCGAAGCCCTTTAAGGCCTGTTTTGGTTGACGGTTGGGATCGGTGTTCCTGATTAGATTGGTGCTAGGCTAAGCTCTTCCGTAGCGAGGTAAGACCTAAACGTGGCTTCCTTGTTGAAGATGGTGTGGTCGTGTTGGCTTGGAGCGCACCACTTCTGTGTTCAGACATATCTGGATGCGCCTCCTACATCGCTTACCAAGGAAAGCCCAATGCCCTGCAATCCTTCACCTGTCAGACAAGCTGCGGTAGATCTTCCTGAGCTGTGCTTCGGGCGCGGGAGACTTTAAAGAAATTAAACCCTAATCTCCAAGTCTTGGGTTGCGGGTCTCGCTCTCGCTCAGGAAGGGTGGAAGGCACGATGTAGAAGCCCTGCTTGGCACAGCCGGCCAAAGCCTGGCCCTTGCCTGTGTCGCTACGACGCAAAGTGCTTACGGGGCTCAGGGTTTACAGGTCTCTGATGGTTTTTCTTGAAGCTGCAGCACTTGGCGGATTGCGGCATCTGAACCGGCCGAGAGGCAAAACGCCAGTCAGCCTCAGTGCGCAGCACTCGAGATTTAACTTCAGCTCTCCTGCCCCATTTAAGCTCCAGCTTCGGCAAGAAGCCAACACCGTATCAGCACACCTGCTCCAAACCTTGTAAACGCTACCGCTGATGGAAAAAACCTTGGTTGACTGCCTGACCGTGCAAGTGTCACAGTAAGTATGCTACCCTATGGGCGCGTGGTATACTCCGCTGTGCTGATACTGCATGATTCTGAATCTGGACCAATGAGCACATGGCTGCTAGATGTCAGGTTTATGCACCAGGAATACTCCGGCGCGGCCTGCCTAAACAAGCACGAACGGCTAACGAAAGATGCCGCTTGAACCAATCAGAAACCGTTAAATCCACTCATCCAAGACTTCAACCGCGGTTCGATTGTTTAGGGCATGTCATATTCGAAGCCGCAACAGCCTGCCTTGAAACAAACTTGGCTGCCACGGCACGGATATTCAGTCACACAGTCGCCCCCCAAATTCAGGGTCAGTGTCTGGAGGTCGTGATGCAGCTGGCAGTGGATGTCTGCATACTCCTAACAAAATGCGGACCGGGATGAAGAAGAGAGTTCTTTGGAGCGTACAGCCTGCCGGATTCAGTACTGGTTTCTGGTACGGTTGTGTTGCTCAGTGCGTCCTTGCTGTCCGTCTGAGTCGTCAGGTACAGCCCGCTCACCAGCTCCAACACGAAATCCTGGAACAGCAGCAACCTTGATGGAATGGCAGGAGCGAGGGTAAAAGCCACCGTAAAAGCGCGCCTCTATATATGGCTGCACGGTTGCACACATGCATACATATATGAGGCTTCGATGCACCGAATCGGCACTGAGGCAAGCACAGCTCCTGCTGGTGCCTTAGCTGCGGGGGGGGGGGGGGGGGGGNNTGTAGGCTCGCTCTTACACAACTCGGCACCCCAGACAAGCTTGTCTCTCCGTCTGGTTCCGTAAGTTCGGCTATGGTTGCAGAGAGGAGGCCTCAGTTTCACCCTTCAAGGATAGCTCAAGAACCTGAGGCGGTTCAGTCTACACCCCCCAGCTCCTCCAGGCGGCTCAGGATTGCGCTCGCCTTCGTAGCCTCTCCACAAGGTTTGCTTGGAGGTGAGGTGGCTTGGAAGCTATCAGAGTGCAAGAAACAAACACCGTTGCGCACCGTTTGTGCGCATCGTTTAATGGTGTTTGCGGTGTCTGGAATCCTTTACTTCGGCTCTGAAGGCTGAAAGTTACACACTCGCTCCCGTCGCCTTTTGGGGCTTCATCCAAAGCCAAACCAACCCGGAAACGCCTCGAGTCAGTCGCCGGAGGCGCGGCAGCTGGATGCGGGACCTGCAGGTTTCTGGTAGGAGTTTATGGTCACGGGAGGTGACCACAGAGTTTCGGGCATCAGGGTTGAGAGTTGAAGGTCTAAGTCTAGGCCACCGGTTTATGGCTTAAGCATTTAAGACTATACTTTGTATAGCAAGTTGGTTAAGGGGTTGAGGGAAGCTTGAGGTTTGCGGCATTCAACTCTCACAACTGGGAATGTGTGCGAATGGAACTGCACATGGGAACTCCCGACGTCCACATGATATGCCCAACTGCACCCACACCCACCCTAGACTAACCTGACGATCCTTCCGAAACCTTGAGCTGCCTCAAGTGGTGTATAGGTGACCTCTCCGTCGTCGCCCATTTCCTCAAACTCACTCTGATTTGGGGATGGTTCTGTGTAAGTCTAGGCTGTTGCAGCACCATAGCATGATGTATAACATACTAGAAGCGGAGGTAGTGAGCGAGATGTATGAAGATAAACCGACATTGATATATTGACAGATACATACAATTCAGTACATAGCCTTATGACATAGTATCTGTGTCCTGGGAGTTTAGATACCTTTTTTCGTTTCTCGCGATGGCCAGAGTCACCCTACTGATGATTGTGATCGTTCTTATGTCCAAAGTCACATGGTGTGACTACGATGCGCCGGCATGACCCTCAAGATCGTCATTAGTAGTCATAGCCGCGACAATCGTGCGTTCAGTATCTCGCCACGTACTTTGGTATCAGGGTGGCAATCACGGAGCAGCAGCTTTTCTGCATCCCAGGCTCCCAAGGCAATCTGTGGCATCCTTGGGAGAAATTGTCATGTCCTTGGATGCTGAAGTTCAGGATGCCTCATGATGTAGGGCTCAAACCCTTACTTAAGCTTCTGAAGGTTTCGTTTCTGAGTTTGTACTGTAAAACTGCATCACTGCATACTGCATTCTGTCTTGCACCATACGGGTCAGCCGCAGGCGAATTCCAAAGGTGTGAGAACAGGATCCAACACCGTTCGTCCGACCCAGTCACAAATGTGTCGGTGGCCGAGAGCTGCTGCACCGGTGGAATTATCGCCTGATGGATACATGCCGGGCCGAAGCCGAGATTTTCAAGAATTTCATTAGGGCCCTCTTCCAAAGGTTCGGATTTTCATGTACATATTTGCGTTCGCCACTGGTGCGCACATCTGGACACATGCACATGCAAGTTGCACGTGTATAGCTTGAGACACGTCGCTTTCTTAGACTGCATGCGTGCTCATACATCTAGTGTTGTACATCGAATCACACAATACTTGTAGCAAAGTCCCACCGAGTGCACAAATGCCTGACACGTGTGCACATGCCACTCGTGCATTGATGGGCTCAAGCAGTTCCAATAAGTCTTGTGGGTCAGCTTTAGCGGCGGCCTCACTGGAGAGCTGCACCACGTGCAGTGTGTCGCCACTCTGCTCTTCCTTTACACTCGTTCGGTTGCAAGAGACAGGCAGCAGGAGCAGCAGCAGCAGCAGCAGCAGTAAGAAGCAGCTGTGGGCCTAGCTAGCGCGGCAGCAACAACAGCATCAGCAGTAGCTTGGCAATAGTCATCATCGTAACCTGCGCCGTAGTGACCGTAGACATGGTCATTACATGAAAGTACTTGTCGATATCTGGTTCACTGTTCCAGAAAACTGTGACAATGATGATGCCCTGGCCTGAAGACCCTTAACCAACCAAGACGAGAATCGCAGGCGCAGCAGGGCCCCATGCCGAAGGCGATCGACAGCGTTCGCACGAAACTTATCTTCCCGAGGCTCGTCAGAACCATCCCCGGCACACATGCGGGGCACAAAAGCCCGGATCCAAACCCTAAATCCACGACCCGTGGGTTCGGGCCGGCGGTGGCAATTTGAGCTGCCCAAGTTTGGTAGAGCGGATTTTGCGAGAATGAAACACAGAGACACTGACACAATCCAGAACCTGAAAGGCATATCCAAATTGAACACAGGCTCGAGTTCAATGGCAAATCCTGGTCATACTGGGTCACTCTCACTGTTACGATGGCACCAGTAATAACAGTACTCGTAATGTAATGTAACGATCACACCGATAATTAGCAAGAACAGTCTTCACCCACCTTATTTACCGGAAATCAAGTCCATGAGCCAAGCTGCGGTGACATGCATCGAACCTGAATCCCTACCATTTTTCCAACAGCCCGATGCGCAGGTTAATTTTGGATTCCCAAAAAATGCGGACTGGATCTCCGCTATGGGCCCTGCTAATAAGGTTAAAAATTCCCTGCTGCCCAGAATCTCGAAGACACGCAGCAATTTAATGTCGTAAATACCCGTAGCCTTGGCCATAGCGACCAGGCACCCAACCCTGAAAGCCTTCACATCTGTGCAAGTCCAGAATCCTAGAACCCAGGATGTTTATATGGTCGAAAAGTCAGGTCCACCAACCAACAGACCCGATATCTCGGACAGGTTGCCCATGCAATCTGGCATGTCCTCGCTTACCTGATGATGTTCCGGAATTCGGGTGGAGGCATTTTTGAGCTTCGGGATATGAGTTTTGGGTTGCTCTTTGCACTCATCGACCCCTCTTCACAACAATAAAAACAATAGTTTTTTATTGTACGCTGAGAGAGCGGGCTCTGCTCATAGCGGGCGAGGGGGCCACTCAACTTCAGACCTGCCGACATCCCCAGAGAAGGAATGGAATTGCCTATGTAGGCAAAAAAAGAGTGAGGCCTGGGTAACTCGAAGTACCACTGCATACTGTACAGTGCTGTGGCATCTCTTGGACACTTGCTTCAAGGAGACTGGTCTCTACTAGTCACTACGATACAAGTCCTGCTCAGATCCGTTCAAGGTGAGCCTACCTCCGACACCCAGCATGAGTCATTGCGTCCAATACTCACGAACTGGCAGCCGGTGGGTCGTACCCCAAAGATTCGTCTCCCTCAGTTCCCTACCAGCGATGGGCCGTAAGGGAGGGGCATAGGCGGAGGGAAGGGGGGAGGGGGGGAAAGACACAACAAAACATAATAATAAACATTTGTATTTTTGGCCACACCCCCGGACCCCCCAGCCCGGCTCTCCTCCCTCCTCCGCGCGCGCCCGCGCAAAAAAGGCAGCCTCCCTCTGCCCGGCAATGCCCGAACTTTGAATCAAGCTCCCACAATGGGTGGACCAACCCATGCTTTTGTTCTGGGTATAGGTGTTACTATACCTGGATATTATGCGTATGTCTATATTTTTGTCATATGCGCGCGCACACGATTAAACACTCGATTCCAATATATGTATGTGTGTATCATACGAAAACGAATGCTTCCAATATGTGCATGTGTATACATGTATACACCTACATACATATATATATATATGTAAATACTATGTGTGTACCAGAGTCTAAATGTATGCATGTATGTATGTATGTATGTATGTATGTATGTATGTATGTACGTATGTATGTATGTATGTATGTATGTATGTATGTATGTATGCAAGTATGTATGTGTATGTACGTGTGTGTATGTGTGTATGTATGTATGTATGTATGTATGTATGTATGTATGTATGTATTTATGTATATATGTACGTATGTATGTGTATGTATCTATGTATATGTGCGTATGCATGCATGTCTGTACAGTTCGTGCGCATGTAAATTGAACGTATATACGTATATATTTACATAAAGATAAAAGATAAACACATATTCACATGTATGAATTGTGGGCGAGAGAGGACGTCCCTCGGTTCCAAAAGGCCATACTGTAACCTTGAATAGGGTTTGGTTGTTTGGTGTAGAAGGGTGGCAACTCATCAAAACTAGACATGGTTGGTTGGCCCTACAAAACGATGATTTTTGGCAAAAGCGATGCCATGAAACGAATAGTCCCATAAAGAACAGTGGTTCGCCAAGGCCCAAAGCCCATAGCCCTAACCGCCCCAACCCAAACAGGAGTGAAGGGTACGGATTGGTTGATAGTTCTATTTTTAGTAAGATGGAAACATGAGATATTACGCATAAACGCCCCTACTTTCAGAATATCAAGATGGGTGGCCAACCTCAACCTATGAAGGGATGACCTGATCCACCAGACACATGACAGAAGTCACGGAGAAGAATATGTGGTTGGGAGTACCGGTTCCCAAAGCCCACAACCCTAGTAGGAAGCGCTATTCGTGCAGGAACAAATTACTAGGATGGGCATTGGCACCCATAGAGCCAACACTAAGCACCAAACCCTGCAAAAGGTGATTGGGCCTCCAGGCTCGACGGCATAGTCAGGTATGTTGTGTGGCAAACCCAACCCCAAAGGAGATGGTGGCGGCAAACCGTTTGTTGCCAAGAAACCCCAAGTATGTAAAAGATGATCGGTGGCAAGAGGATGTGGTAGAAGGTGGCCAATCGTATTTATAAATACTGAAAGGTCAGGAATGATAATGAAATGTTGGGCCGCAACACGCCGCAACTGAAAAGTTCTTAGAGGAGCTGACAGTTGACCCAAGCTCCGCCAACACAACCCCAATGAATCGGGATATGTTTTACCGAAGTTTTACAGTTTTTCCCCATGCCAGAAACATGCTTCAACTAGTCGCTCTGAGAAGCCAATCTTGCGATCCAGGAGACACAACAACATGTCACGGCTGTGTGTTAGGTATTCAATATGAGCGAACTCTTCATGAGGTCCACAGAAAGAGACAGATGCTCGCTATTCCAACGGTAGGGCATCTGCGTAATCCTCGGCACGTGTGTTTCCAAACTTCCCCCCTCCAGTCCATTCTACTCTCAGGAATTGAACCTACTTACTATTGTTACTATTACTACTGCTGCTGCTGCTGCTGCTGCTGCTACTACTACTACTCCTCCTGCTGCTGCTGCTGCTACTCCTCCGGCTGCTGCTGCTGCTACTGCTGCTTCTGCTGCTGCTACTGCTTCTTGCTACTACTGCTGTTGCTGCCAGGGTTTGCCGGGCCAGTAGACCACCACGAACGCTCGAATCTCAACACTCCAGGACCCCTCCCCGGCTGACCTGGAGACGCGACGCGTCCAGGACGGATTTGGGCGCTTTGGCCAGGACCTGGGGCTTTTGGGGCGCGCGGGGGTCGCCGTGAGGCTTTGAAACTGGGCGCCTTCTGAAAGCCCTACATAGGTTTTGCTGGGCTTGCTACGCTTGTCTCTTATGCCGTTGCATCCTGTCGCGTCGTTTTTCTTGGGCTTCATGCAGTCGACTTGCCCAGGTCATGACTGCCTATGAACAGGCACCTTGGTATAACCTGATATACTTTTGATTCCAGTGCCCTCTTGCTCTGGCCTAAAACCCCGTTTACAACCTTATAGACCCGGTAGACTTCCATCTGAACCCCAACCCTCGAACGGCAGACCTGGGAGGCTCGTCCAGCCACTCGAAGAAGCGAAGGCAGCTGCCCGAAGGGCACTTCAAGAAGTACCTTCCTTGCGAAAAAACTCGTGTTGGCGATATTGATGTGTGGAATGTAGGGATTCCTGTTTCGACGCCCACACTCGAACATGCCAGGCGGGGTTCATGGTGCGTAGCTCTAGGGACTTTAAGGAGAAAGGCTTTTTGGATCTCGGGCCCCAACCATGTGCATCGAACGATGGGTGAGTGGCCACTCTGTAACATGGAACAGCCGAATGGACAAAGCTGTATTCCGCGAATGCACTGTTTGCAATGGGCCTCCATTCCTCCATGTCAACGACTCTCATTATATCGAGTTACACGAAAAACTGTCCCGGATGACGGGCTTGGTGATCGCACCGCGCATTACGATAAGATACTCTTTCTGCAGATGCTACAACAGGCGTTGCTTGGCTCAGCTTGTGTTCGGGGCGAATGCTCCTTTTCATAAACCTACACCTTGCGACCAAGATTCAAATCTATAAGGGCTTCTATTTTCTGAAATTTTATGAAATTTTCACCCACACCCACACACATCATTCCTGGTGGCTTGCACTATGCTGAAGAAACCTGAACGGCGGCTATCCCATATGAACTGAACCGTTAGGACCATTACAGCTGTAACCCCGACCGAGCATTACAGAGCAAGTTCAAGGATGCGTGTTTGTTGCTTGGCCTGTACTAGCTGCTACTATGTGCGACCGCTGAGTTGCCTGAGGTGCACACCGCTAACCGGACTTTAGCACTGCAGGCTGGTATTGCTTGTAGAATCGAAACCCCTTCAATGTACACGATGGGTCTTCTACAAAATTGGCACTTGCAAACCCGAAACTCCAAAAGGAACACTCACTTAATTAGAACATGCGCCAGCCTTTGTTCGGGCCCTCCTTCATCACTTGATGCTTCATGGCCGTCCTGGATGAGCAAGCAGAGTAGAACTTTCGAAACTGAGGGTCACACACCGTGGATTTTGACTATTGCGCACCTGCATGAAGACGCTGCCACTAGCTAGCCATGCTGAGCATTCCGTGTTTAACGCGAACCATTTAGCATTCCATTCGCTACAATAGCTCTGTTTCGGATGCTTCTCCAATGCCGCGACGATGGCGAAGACTGTCATAACAGCCAGCTCTGCTGCTCTGCTCCAGCTGCATAACCTCTTTGTGTTCTGGTCCTTCTTGCCATCAACCACTCATCAACCCCTTGCCCCAAACTTTAACCCCTGAAAGCCAGTACAACCAATACAGACTAGATCAGACTGGCCAAGCCCAGGCACTGCCCGCACATGCAGAGGCGCCCCGTGGCCGCCTGCCCAGCCATCTGGCCAGGCACCTGGCTCTCAGCTGAAAATCCCACGCTTTTGGGGCAGGGGCTCTCTCAACCCGAACAAGCAGCGCATGGCGCTACGGCGTATGAAGGCTTGAATTAAAGTTTCAACGGATCTGGCCCAGGGATTTACACTAGGGCGTACTGGGATTTGTAAATTACACTAATTAGTTATCCCTACCAATAGACCAAGGCCCCGCGTATGACCTACCTACGAATCCGTTGGTCCTTCCGTCATGAAGGGTGGCTGGTGGGTTTTTGGATATAGGACTGGAAGCTAGGTGCCTGTACCAGCAATTATCTGTAGAGCGGCGGGGCTCCAAGAGCTGACGAGCCTTCAAGAAACCCACATGCTCTAGCCTCAAGCCCTAACAAAGCCGGAAAGCAAAGCCCTGAACTCCGATCTGAGAAACTCTCTTGCTGTCCGCAGACCTACTGACTTCATATAGCAGGCTCATGGGCCATAATTTTTCCAAGTTTGGGATTTCAAGGCTCGAGGAAATTTCCAGCAGAATCAAGCCTGGTCCAGCCACTGAAAGAAGTTGCACTGCTGGTCCCGCGGCTTCGGGCATTTGAAGAAGCGCTTGCCTCTGGAACGACTTTTTTGCCTCCTACGTAGACAGGACTTGCCCGCATTGCAAAGCGGTCTGAAGTCGGTATGGTTTCGGAGCATGGAGCTCAAAGTATCAGGATGAAGGCGCCTGTTGAAATTGCAAACTTGGCCCTCCGAGATATGTAACACCTGTAAGACACGCACTACAAGCATCTGTCCGTTGCTGTGACTTGGGCTTCTGCAGTTTGGGGCACGCCCCAAGGTGAGATGGGGCTGCAATCCCGCAAACAACGGTTTGGGAGTTGGGCCGTTGGGATTTCTGACTCAGGGTTGAGCAGTATTCTGGACGGAAATCGACCAGCTTTTCGTGAACTACTCGAAAGCCATGACCTTGTCAATGCTGCCGTCCTCTCTTCACGCCCCCCCTACGACCTCTACAACTAGTCTCAGACGGGGAGTACCGCTAGGGGCCGAAGTGCTCCAGAACTCCGAAGCGGCGTTGTGCGACCTCTCCCAGCAAACTCCCGCAGTGAGAGCTACAGCAAAATTCTAATTTGACTGGGCGCCCAGCTCCCCTAAACCGTGAACCCTTCGAACTCGGCCAGGCTGCCCTTTGTGGGCCCTTCTTTCTTCACCTCCAGCTGGATCGCCGCCTCGAAGCCCAGAAGGCGAAAGCTTAAGATCTGCTCACGAGCTTGGGGGCTAGAGGTCTCGGGTAATGGGGCGGAGGAGTTCGAGCTGGGGCTCCAGGATCAAGGTTGGAAGGTGTGTCAAACCGCCTCAACAAGCACGACTTCGGCAGTCGAGCTTGGTGGGCTAAGTCGACAGCTACGCGCGGTGACTTGACGGAGACGGCTCAAGATCGGAACGTCAATTTCAAACGCCCTGCAACATGCGCAGCTTGACTCATTCGTCTAAACGGAATTTTCTAGCTACACCAATCCGGCCGTAATAGATTATGTGCTGCTGCCCTTGAGCCGCAAGTCTCTGAGCCTTGAACCCTCTCCACCCCACAAAATCAGACAAAGCGCCATCCTGCCGAAAGGCACAGCCACGACTCACGCTGGCCGGCAAGTGCAAACCCGCCTGAGGCTGCGCGCATCGACACCGGGGGGCTCCCGGAGTTCCTGCCCAAACGAAGAAGTCGCAGTGTTCGGCCTCCGGGAAGATGCAGCACCTTGCAGCCAAAGACCACCGAGCTTCCCGAGCCCTAAGCATTATCTGTATACAAATATGTATGTATGTGTATATATGTATATTTATTTATTCTGTGTATATATATATATATTTATATTTATTTATATGTCATACAATGTACAGGCATACACACATATGTGTATGTATCCTATCGTGCCGATCATCCTATTTTGGCTACTGCATCGCAAGGCACAGCAAGCACGGAAGGCATGGTGTGGGTCGTTTGGCTGCGACGGACTCGGGGCTGAAGCTCGAGGCAGTCAAGCCCTTGCAACTCCTCAACCCCTAGTTGACGGCATCTTGCTGGAAGGCTTGGCTCCGGCTTTCAGAGTATGCTATCTCCGGAAACAGCTTGAACTTACACCGCTGCAGGTTCCGAACTGCTGGAGTAATCAACATGTCACATTAAACATGCATGCGTGCTCCGTTTGCGTATCCTTGGTTGGCATCGTAAGGAAGCTTCGCAGCTTGCGGGCTCTCTAAAAGATGGACATATAGGCTGTAGAACCTCGCCCCTATCATTCTGCATGTTTGTGAAAGTTTTATTAAGCCATCCCCCCCGTTGCCTGTAGTACTCCTTCCCAGCATTCGGACCGGAATTTGCCACGGTCTTTCGCACTGCCGGCATCCCGCAGTCACACGGTGGGGCGTCCCGGTCCTGATATGCAAGTGTTTGCCGAGTATTGATTGTGTGCTGGTGCATCTTGCACAGACGTCCCAGCACCACCTCACGGCAGAATACTGCGATTGCGGTGCCGGGTACATCTACTGCACCTGGATGCTCTGCTTCTTGTACTGGAGTAACAGAGTAATTCAAGCTTGAACCGGCAAGTCCAGTGCTCAAACTAACGGCGCTCGGCCAAAGTTGGCAAAGTTCGACTGCAAGCCTGTGCTATTACCTAGGACCTAGGGTCCAGGTCCGATGCGGTGCAGCATTTTGCATGGTTTGCTTGCCGTAAAAAGGATACCCACCTTCCCTGCATTGTGCACGAATATACCAGCATTCCAGTTGCAACAGAACCCCCCAGCCAACGCATGTTCTGCCCACCCTCAAGCAGAGCTACGAAACACAACACCGCATCCCGAACACTGGGGCGCTGCACTGGGATGCAAGCGACACCCAGCAAGCCATACCTTTCAGCACTCGACATCAGCCCACCCTGGTCGAAGACCCTCGGGCCCTTAACGGGATAACCGACTTCCCTTGTTCCCATTCTTGGGAGTCTCCTCTTCCTCGTCGTCTGACTCGGGTACCTTGCGGCGGCGCTGGTGCTGAAGAAAGAGGAACTCGACGCTGAAGATCATGCTGGTAGTGAAGGACGTGGTGTTTATGGTGCTGCAACGTGAAGTCTTGACAAGGGTGGTCAGCAGCAGCGAAGCAGTGTGGCAGCAGAAGCCGTTGAAAGAAATTGCGGTCAAGCAGGTGAGCTCCATAACTGCTTGGGGAAACCTCACAGGGTCCCTGTCATGACCAAGGCCTGAAACAGACCGCACCATGAACGGCACTTGCTCCACGTTTGCCATGGCGAGATGTGAAATAGCTGGCGAGGTCCCAAATCCCCTCATAAAATCCCCGATTCCAGAACCCCAAACCCTGAATTCCATGTCGCTGCAATGCCTTGTCTTGTGATGGTTCCACAGCGGCATCCTTCTTCCTTTCAGCAGGGCCAGACACTCAGCAGCAGTAGCTACTGCAGAGATCTAGTACCTTTTCAGTGTCCCTGGAATAAAAGCCCTTTCCCGCTTGGCCCCGTGTCGGTAACTGCCGCATGCGGCTTCCATGCCAGCGCACGGCAATTCGTCAAGGCGGTAAGCAAAACCGGAGTTTGGAACAGCAGTGCATCAGAATCCCTGTGTGGAACTGGTGTGGATCTATCTCGGTTGTGTCAAGAGGCAGCGATGCAAGGGTGGGGAGGACGAAGGAGGGAGATGCACAAGTCATTTTGCCACCTTACTTGCTTGCTTCTTCCATCTCCTTCCTTTGCTGCGGGCTTATCGAGGTTATTCAAGCAGGTGATCCCAGCTGCAATATGCGCAAAGCCTGGATCTCCAGATGTTGAGCTTTGCTTATCATGTCATGTCTTCCTACCTGCGTACGGCATTCCCGTGAGCTTCACACGACCTTGATTACATCCTCAAGACTTCCTCGCAAGCTTGTAGCCCAAGCCGGTCTCCAAGAAGCCTTCCTCACTCCGAAAAGCCTCTGTCGGAGCTCGGCTCCCTCGCGATGCCTGCCCTAAATTCGGATCGAAAAGTCGAAGCTGTCGGCTTGAACTGAAAATGTCAACGCGTGCTCAATTGCAGCGCGAAACACCGGTACATGAGTCCCTTCACCCTTTTACACAGGCTTGAGTAGTGCTCGCTCGGCCAGATGCCCCTTTTTTACACAGGCTTGACTGGAGCAATGTCCCCCGTAGCACATCGCACTNNAGTATGCACAATCCTCATGATTTTACGAGCTAATCCGGCCAGATGCCCCTAAAACCCAAGCCGTCGCCTGGCATCGAGTTGGAGAATGGCTCGGTGCTTTCGCAGAGCCCGCACGTCCTGGCTTTTGGAGATAGAGCTTGCGCTCGAGAACCAATGTCGAGCTTGTGGTCGTCGTTACAAAGCATGAACCCAAAAAGCCAGCCCAAGCCGCTGGCGAGTCAAGCTCAGGAGCTCTAGGAAGGTCAACTTCCCAAAACCCTGGCCGTGGTCCAAACAAGAAACACCCAAAGCTCAACTGCCTCCTCCCCGGCGGTTTTGGCCATGAGCTCCTGCCAGGAATCACCACAAGGTCCAGTTTGGGTCTTTGCGGCCTAACAAAGCGCTTGAGGGCGTTGTGCGCTTTGGCAGAGCAGTAGTGCACAGGGCATCAAGGACGGGGCTTACGAGGGCTTTACTTGATAAGGCCGCCGGGCTCTGTAACCTTGTACCGGAGCCTTTACAGCGTCGAAGCTTTCAAGGCTCTTTCTGCACAAGCTCGGCTGGCTGCACCCAAGAGCACGACACATGGAGGGCTCAGGGTCTGTGATCCAATGCTTTAATACGACTTCGAGTCCTCCGAATGCGGGTGCCGAGGTTGGTCTAGCAGTTAAGCAGTTTAGCATTCGCCGACAGTGGAAGCAAAGACACTGTCCTGCACCCCGTATGCTCGAGCCCGAAGCCCAGTCGGTAGTGACACCGATTCACTCTTTTATCCACTTGACTCTCCTGCGAATAATTAACATTCAAGTTGGTCCGCGGTCTCCTTTGCATCGCCGCCTCTGCTCACGCGCGTCTTGGCGTGTGCCTTCTCTTTCAAGCGAGCGGCCTTCTCACCTGAAGATCGTCCCAGATTCCGACCCCCCAATATAAGATGTATAGGTATGAAACCCAAGATCACAAAAGCCTAGTGGCCTAGTATCAGGTTTGCGTCAGGATCCTTGGGAGGGACTCGAGTTTTCAGGTCGGGCAGACTGAGGGGTGCCAGATGTTTGAAACAAGGCGTCTTTGTCGTCGTTTCTTTCCTGCTTATGAGCTTCTCGACTCTCACACTCGCACAGGGCAGGCAAGGCTACACGTCGACTGGTCCACTAAACACGCACGATCGCGACAAAGCACAGAGGGCATTCCATTCGAAAGCATCCACACGCAACTAAGCCTATCCCATGCTATCCCAAGCGACGACAAAGATGCTTGGAGGCCGAATGCACTTACAGGCTCACGTCGATGCACGCAAACCAACAACAGATGGTCATGGTCTCACATTGACATTCTCTCCAACCAGACCATAACCGTCACAAAGCCAAGCCCACACCCAAGCTGCAGAGAGGTGGACAGCTGCCACCTCGACACCTACTCTTGAGCCTTGCAGCGTTTCGGGTGTGGAACGAGAAGAAAGAGGGAGAGGGAGAGAGAGAGAGAGTAGAGAGAGAGAGATCGGGAGGGAGCGAGAGAGGGAGGGAGGGAAAGAGCGGGAGAGGGAGGGAGATCGAGAGACAGGCAGACAGAGAAAAAACAACGGTAGCGTCATCATGTTTCAATTGCCGTGTGAGATCACTATTGTAGGTTTGATTTTATGCAGTCTTGACTGCACATGTGGTTTCTCCGCTCCTTGGCAGCTGTATGGGGCCAGCGAGCACTTAGGCATATCACCTGGAACAATCCTAGCTGGTACCCTCCACCTGGCAAACTACGACCCGGACCGCCGACGAGATGCCAAAGAGATACTTCAGGCATTTCTGGCATGACCAGAAAATTTCGTGCATCATCTGGCCTAGGTCGCAAAGAGCCCCGGACAAAGCTGGATGGCTTTTCGGTAAAGTGATCCATAATCGCTCTGGTCTCTGGTCAATGTTCAACATGTTGTTGTCTACATTGCCGTGGTTCTTGGTGGTCGAGCCTGAAAGCCACGACCTGACAGAAGCCACGATGCCTAAGGGCCTGAACCTGATGAACCCCACTACTAAACCCCCAGCACGGGGGCCCTTCGCCCTTCCGGGTTTCATTCTGCTTTGAACATAGGAAGGACAAAGGGGTTGAGAGGTTCGAGGGCACCGTGCTTTAGATGCTTGAGGCTGCCGGCACTAGATTCAATTGCGAGATTTAGCTTTGTGCTGTGGGCTCATTGCCCAGTGCTTTTTTTGGGGGCTTGTTGCTTGGGGCCTCCCCTCGCACCCTGGAGCTGCGTCAGACCAGATTCACCAGATCGCACTCAAACCTTGAACGCTAAGTAAACCCAAACTACCAAAACTCGCCCCGAACCCCACATCTTTGAACCCAGCCTTGCACCCTCAAGCATTTGCTACTGCAGCCACGGGGTCGCTGGTCAACAGCCGATTGATCCAAGGCCTTTCGAGGTTTCGGGCTTCGGCAAAGGGTTTGGACTTGGGTTGCAGGTTTCGGACCACACACGGCCTCCATGCCCTTAGTTGCGCGGCCAATACTCTGCTTCTTGGCTGCCGCATGGCATGTGTCCAGGACTCACTTGGCAGGTTGGGAATCTTAAGGGTTCGTCCGGCACAAGTCAAGCCCTTGAACGTGGCCGGGCAACGATACATGTAAACGAAAAGGGCTGCATAAAGCTTATCAGTAGTCATGCTGGCTTGCGACTTAAGATCACCGACAATAGCTCTCGGTTCTTGGGAGTATGCTGATCCGTTCGGCTGCAACAGGCACTAGCTGGACGACGACGACGACGGTTGACGCACCGTGAGTGCTCTCGTTGTAGCACACACACACACACACACACACACCTCCAGGTTTCAGGTTGTTCGTAGCACGATGTTTAATACTGTGACTTTTGCGACCTGTGCTTCACTGTGTCTTACAAAACCTCTAGCTGCCCCCTGCTTCATGCTCCACTGATTTTTATGATGACATGTCTCTCAATCTTTGTTGGCTCGCCTCGCTGATGCCCATGGTGGCGCATCGCTTACAGTCAGTGGGGCAGGCGCCGATCTTTCGAAAGGCGCGAAGGCAGAAAAGGTGCCTGGCTTGACGATTTGTGTGTGGGGTTCAGGGCCCTGACTGCTGAACATCAGGGATCAGGGTGGGGTAGGAATGGCATCAGCCTCCAAGGTAAGCTCTGCTGCAATTGCTTTAGGATCTCAGGATGGCAGGCGGCGGACCGAACTATGACGGCAAAGGGTGCACTCGGAGAACTTGTACATCCAGGCCGCCGCGATCGGAAAAACCATAAAAATCCTCTACAGACGAGGTTACAAAACTGGGGAGCCACAGATGAAGCCTCGCCTTTGCCGCCCGCAGAAGTCGCAATGACAGTCGGTGAGCATGGCCTGCATGTACATACAGTCAGCAACGGGCAATGTGTCCAGAAGCGGGGTATGGATTCACAGCGGATGTGTGCAGGTGAGGTTCTTTGTGTCGACAAAATCTTCCTGACTCGTGGAAGTGACATACTTAGGCAGTGGGCTAGCACTCTGAACGAGATTGGTAGGCATTTCCTGCTGGCACGTGTGCAAAAAGCTGCGAAGGGCTTCATCAACTTGCTTCGAGGTGACACGAACCCCCACCCAAAAATTGAGCCGAAATTCTCTACTAAACCGCTACTCTTTCCGGTTGAAGCTTTAGGGATCCCGGAATGAATCACACTGTGCCCTCCGCATTATCTGGCGAGTGGCGGAATCTAAGTCAATGTGGCTTGGCTCCCTCAGCAGTTGCGAGCAACCGTCCACATCACGCACCTGAGCCGTAAGGGTGACAAAGCGGCCATAGGCTTTTAGAGAAAACATCCCCGTTGAATGTTGAGGGCAAGTTGAAGGCTTCTCGAAGCGGCAACTGTGTCCCCCACGCTGCAGGACACAGCCGCATGCATCTAGCTTGTGCAATGCAGAACCGAGGCACACATCACTGCATGTTCTGTGGTGTCTCGCGCCCGCCAACGCAAGAAATTTTATTGTCTGATCTACTGGCACAAAAATGCCAGGTGGACTTATAACCCAGCTGCAAACTTGTCATGCACTGCGTTCAGGTGAGCGAATCACATGCCGAAAATGTGTAACAAACACTTGATTCAGATGATGGCGGCGACGTTGCCCATCTTAGTTGTCTTAGCTGCAATGTTGGAACGATGCTAACCGCGCAGTACACTGGCATGAGCATGTCTTTCGGACAAATTCGTGAGTCTCTTCCCGCTTCCAGTAATACTGCAGCCGTGCAGCTGCTATGACCCAGTTGAAGCGCGAAACGTGCCACCAGCGGATGACGCTGGTAATGGCGCGCAAGTCCTGGATGTTATCCACCCCACCTGCACAGCAGAATCTCCTTCACTTCAGGAGCAATCGTCGTGACATCGGGAATGGTGCAGCGAAGACTTGCTAAAGTGACTTTTGTACCCTGTCATGCAGGACAGGGGGCACCGGCTGTTTCAGAAATTAGCGTCTCCTCTTCTCCGACATCGTTTTGATTGGCTTAGCACTTCTCTCTGCTACTGCGACTGCCTTGCTAGCATTGTCACTCACAACGCACCAAGATGTACTGCTCAAAGCTTCCATCCGGTGGGCGTTGTGACGACAGGTGATGCATACTCAAACACGACCCCCTGCCTTGCGACGGCTGGTCTTGCTGGTCCTGCTCGAAATCATCCACGATGTCCGAAACAAGCCTTGGAGCCACTGTTCGCCAAGCCCGAAGCCTTCGACCGGCTCTCGGCCCGCATCCAAACCTGTCGTTCTACTGCCTGCATGGTTTATACTGTTTCCCTGAACCTCAAAACTCTAGGCGCCAGCCCCTTCGGAACGAGAGCTTGCGAAGCAGCTTCGGCACTCACAGTCGTGAAAGAACTGGTGGCAGTGGCAATGGCAGTGGTAGTGGTAG